CATAGGCATTCTTTGGTCTCTTTGGCTGTAATCTCCAAAGGTATGATTCAAGAAAAAAAGTAGCAGCATTTGATGAAAAGAACACCTTGCCAACTGTTAACATTGGGGTGGATCTATTATACTTTGGGGTTGTGTGGCAGCCAGTGGCAGAGGAAATATTGTGGGGATAAAGGGAAGGAAGGCTTCTACAACCACAATTCCAAAAAAAGTTGGGATGCTGTGTAAAATGTGAATAAATCTAAATAAAAAACATATCAGATGTTTAAAGAGACATTTTACCATTTCATGAAAAATATCAACTCATGTAGAACTTGATGGCAGCAACGTATCTCAAAAAAGTTGGGACAGAGCCATGTCTACTATTGTGTAGCATCCCCTCTTCTTTTAACAACAGGGTGTAAACATCTGTGAAGTGAGGAGACCAATTGCTGGAGTTTTGGGAGAGGAATGTTGTCCCAGTCTTGTCTGATGTAGAATTCTAGCTGATCAACAGTCCTGAGTCTTCTTTTTGTTTTATGATGCAGCAAATGTTTTCTATTGGTGAAAAGTCTGAACAACAGGCAGGCCAGTTCAGCACCTGGACTCTTCTTCTGAAAAGCCATGCTGTTGTGATAGATTCAGTATGTGGTTTAGCATTGTCTTGCTGAAATATGCAAGGCCTTCCCCAAAAGAGACGTTTTCTGGACGGGAGCATATGTTGCTCTGAAACCTCTGTATACTGTTCAGCATTGATAATGCCTTTCCCGATGCGTAAGCTGCTCATGCCGTAGGCACTAATACAACCCTCATACCATCAGAGATGCAGGCTTTTGAACTGTGCGCTGATAACAAGATGGTCCCTCTTCTCTTGAGTCTGCAGGAAACGGCGTCCGTGGTTTCCTAAGAATTTTCCAAAAAGAATTTAAAATTTTGATTCATCTGACCACAGAACAGTTTCGCCTTAGTCCATTTTAAATGAGCTTTGGCCCAGAGAAGACGGTGGTGTTACTGGATTGTGTTGACATATGGCTTCTTCTTTGCATGATACACTTGCATGATAACTTGCATTTGTGCAAACTGTGTTCACAGACAATGTTTTCTGGAAGTGTTCCTGAGCCCATGAGGTGATTTCCAGTACAGAGTCATGCCTGTTTTCAATGCAGTGCCACCTGAGGACCCAAAGATCACAAGCATCCAATATTGACCGTCGGCCTTGTCCCTTGCGTGCAGGGATTTCTCCAGAATCTTTTGAAGATATTATGTACTGTAGATGGTGGGATATCCAAAGTCTTCACAATTTTACACTGAGGAACATTTTTCTGAAATTGATCCACAATTTTTAGACGCAGTTTTTGCAGATTGGCAAACCTCTGCCCATCTTTGCTTCTGAGAGACTCTGCCTCTCTAAAATGCTCTTTTTATACCAAGTCATGTAAGTTAGTGGCAAATTGCTCCTCTAGCTGTTTTTTATTAGTACCGCTTACTTTTCCAGCCTGTGGTTGCCCCTTTTTTTTGGAGATGCGTTGCTGCCATCAAGTTCTAAATGAATTAAATTTTCATTAAATAATGTCTCACTTTCAACATCTGATGTGTTCAATGTTCTATTGTGAACAAAATATGGATCTATGAGATTTGCAAATCATTACATTCTGTTTTTATTTACATTTTATCACATTTTACACAGCATCCCAAATTTTGTGGAATTGGGGCTGTACTATATATCAACAAATTTGCAGAGCTAATGTCCCACAGTCGGCAAAGAAACTGAAGAAAAAAGAGATTGGATATAACAACAAGACAATGATCCATAAAATACATCAAAGTCAACCTTGAAGTCTGTTTGTTCCTTCCATCCATTCATTGATTTCCATCCATTCATTGACTGTCAACACAATGGGAGGATTCAGAGATTAACAGGAACAGAATAATATTAGACTAAAAAGTACAAACTACATCAGTGCAGCTCAATGCACTTTATGTAAGGACTACAACAAACTCACCCCAGTAGGCTAAGGGACACTGTGTCTGTTCTGTTTCCCCTTTCCCCAAAGAACAAACGTAAGCTCTATAAACATTTGTTCTCGCCAAAAGGATATGAGATATTTTGCTGTTTTTATAGTTTGAAGAGTAGGATCTGTGTCCTGCCAAAAGTAATGAGCCAAAGCTGCAAAGATGGAGGCAGGGAGGAGTGTTGGAAAAGCAAGTGCTCAGTGATTTTCTCCATACCTTTCAGTCTTACCTGGTTCCAGCAAAACCAGTAAAAACAACCTTAGTGTTGCCTTAATGATGAGACTATAAAGCAAGGTGACCCATTTTATTGTGCCACCTCTCTCAACAGGCCAGCTGCCGCAGAAGATGTTCTGGCCCGATTTAAATAGTCTTCTGTGCAAGCACATGCACATTCACACACACACACACACACACACACACACACACACACACTCACACACTGGTGTGTGTATAAGGGTGGGTGGGTGGCTTGTTGGCAGAAACATGCCCAAAATGATGCAGTGCAGCTGTAGTGACTTCAGCCTCCTCCAATAATTAGCCTTAATGGCAGAGCAATGCAGTCCATTTAGAAGAGACAAATTCATATTCAAACATGCTCCAGGCCTCTACTGGATAAAAGGAATCAGATACAAAGTTAATTACAAAAGAGAATATTTGCAGCAGCTTTTATATTATTTGGATTATTATATAATCAGCCTCTGTTATGTACATTATCCATAGATATACAGTGGCCCCCAAAAGTATTTGGACATCTGTCCTAAACTTTTATATGTATTAAGTTCATTGTGTAAGAAAACAAAATGTCAAACTAAGTGGAATTTATTTTAAACTGACATTTCCAAGACTGTAATTTCCTTTTTTGGAAAAGTATTCTTACAAAATATGTCTGGTGTGTTTCAGATTGTTATCTTTTGAGCAGATTCTTTGCAGACTTCTGCAGGTTTGCATCTTAAATGTCTTTGTGTGCCTTCTGACTTCATTATCAGATCTCATTAATGAACACAAACTCACAAGCTCACTAACCCCATTGCACGAAAAACAGCACCCGCATTTGATATTTCCACCTCTGTGCTTACAGCACTCTTAGTGCAGCCTAATTGTAATTTTCCTCCAGCCTTTCTCCACGCGAACAGTCTACCATTAGTTTAATCTGGTGCTAAATCTAAAACAAATATGACTTTGTTAAACATGAAGTAACCTAAATAACCTAGAGAACTTCATTAATTTTACACAAATAGTGCTTAAAGTGTCCAAATACTTTTTGGGGGGCACTCTATCTATCTCTCTCTCTCCTCTCTCTCTCTCTCTCTCTCTATATATATATATATATGTGTGTGTGTGTGTATATATATATATATATATGTATGTATATTTGACGGGAATCATCAAACCCAAGGCCTTCTTGCTGTGCCTTTTCAAAACTTCTGCTCTCATGTTACTGTTACTGTCACAATGCAAGGTGTGATACAAAACATGATAACTTTGAAAAATGCTGTTGGTTTGGAATGGGTGATACGGACAACATAATGCAATGTTGCAATGCAAATCTCTGCGAGAACACTAAATGACATTACCAACACCAAAAAGCCAAAAACACACACTTTCTAGGCCGCTTATTCCTCTGGGTTGCGGAAGCCTATCTCGGTGGTCATCGGGCGGGAGGCAGGATACACTCCGGACAGGTCGCCAGTCCATCACTGGGCAGACAGACATATACATTCACACACACTAACACTTACACCTGGGGGCAATTTAACATATCCAATTGGCCTGACTGCATGTCTTTGGACTGTGGGAGGAAACCCACACAACATGCAACAGACAGCCTTGCCCAGCCGGGAAACAAACCCAGGCCCTTCTTGCTGTGATGTGACAACGCTACCCACTGCACCACCATGCCACCCCAAAAGCCAAGAACAGGAATAGTTTACAGTGGGCTGCCCTACATGGGGACAGCAAGCCAAAGCAAGACATCTGCACTGACCCACCAGAAAGCAGCCCTATGAACACTTTTTATCTTATTTTTTGTCTTATTTTTCTTTTAAATTGTTTTACAAATTTTAGTAACAAAAATGTATGTTATAAATCAAATCTACAATCTATGACACAACATATGTGTCACTGACTGCAATGCAGGTGTAACAGCACATATACAGATAACCGTTACAGGAGTTACAGGAAATTTAGAGACCACAATTTTTATTTTACAGAATTTAAAGGCAAAGCAAAATGCATTGTATGTAATAATGAAACACTAGAGCAGTGTTTCTTAACCCTAGTCTTGGAGGCCCACTGTCCTGCACATTTTCCTGCTTCAACACACCCACTTTAGGTCAATAATGGGCTGTTAATGAGCTAATTAGCTGGATCAGGTGCGTTGGGATCAGGGAAAACACTAAAAAGTACAGGGCACTGGGCCTTCAGGACCAGAGTTGAGAAATACTGCACTTCAGTAAATAAAGAATGGTTTATCCAATTATACTGGCAGCATGTGAAAAACATAAAGCTAACACATTGCTAACTAGCTGTTTTGCCTATTTGGCCCTTGGCCCTCCAAGACAAAACATTTGGGCATCCCTCCTTTACAGATTATGTCTAAAAATAATGACCAAAGATATTTAAAAACAAGAAAGATATTTCATTTTAGACTGTGATAATATGCTAAATATCAAGGGTAAACTCACTGACAACAGGAAGTCTGTGTGGCTCTGCACTGAGGGTAGTGAACATCCTGCCAAGCACTGTTACCTGAGGTGGGCATGTTCTCAGTTCACTGCCCACACCAGGAGTCACACCAGCGCTACATAATTTAGTCCATCTGGTGCAATTACAAGATTAAACATTAATCAAATGGTGTAAGATGAGTAAATAACGTCACATAACTTCAAGGCCTAATTAATCAAAGAATAATTCAGTGTAAGGTCTTCATCATGGTTATGCGCGTCCCCAATGAAATCACACACCAGAACATAAAGCTTAGGTTGGATGGACAAAGCAAAGCCTGAAACACATCTTCTGAATGGAAATCTATTGTGATGGATGACAATAAAAATATAAAAGACAAAAGAGTGCATTAAAGCATTCAACTGTTGTCAGACTGTAAAATTATGTTCTCTTGAAGAGAGCAAAGCAAGCATACAGCAAACCTGTGCATCATATGTTTTTTCAGAAGCTTTTTTCGTTTTTGTTTTTCTAAACCCACATTTGTATGCTCCCAGTGCACCAGTTGTCATTCAGTGGCCGGTACAGAGAAACAGCTCACTGATCAGGATAACATAAATGCCACAGTGCTTTCCTATAGCCAACTCTCCAGAAATGCTCCCAAATAATACGCTTGGGAGGAGCTGGTTGCTTTTAAAAAGTAGTTATAGTTTAACTACTTTCAATGAAAAATAGCTTGAGGCTTGAACTTCTGGATTTCTGGAACAGCTTCCTAAAACCTAAGCATAATTAAGAACACAAGAAATATGACCAAGACCATAAACACACACACACACACACACACACACACACACACACACACACACACACACACACAACAAAAAAAAAACAAAAAAGAGCGTAATAGTACATAAGAATCTAAGAAATGAGAACTTCACCACAATCCAAATATGGCAACCAATCAATACACAAATGTTCCGAAGGGAGAATTCTAAGTACAATACTGATATTTTATCAATAACAGAAGTTTAATACAAAAAAGGGGATTGTACAATGTGTCATGACATGGCAAATTTCAGGAGAAATTAGAAGCTTGAGATTCACCACACCAGTGCTAGTCAGGTTATAAATAGGAAAATAAACAATTCCCAGCCATGCACCACTTCAGCTACCCAGTTCCACATAACAGTTTCAAGCGCTTAAGATCCTGCTAATGGTGGCTGCAGTAAACATGCTGCAATTTTCTTTCCTCTATTCCATTTCTGTAGAATCAAGCTCAGTGAGGAACTTCTGGCACTTGGCAATAAGTACATTAATTGCCTCACTGACCAGGACATCAGGCGGTAGGATTCCAGTGGACTCCACTGAGACTGAAAGAGAAAAAGAAGCAATTAAAGTAAGAACCATCACAGTGGTATGACTACATTTGAGGTCATAACTGAAAACTTACATATGAAGTGGTCCCGTACTCTTCCTAGTTTTACCAAACTCTTTAGGTCTTCATGCCTGAGCACTTCTCTGCTGCACGTGTCTAGGCGACTGTTAACTACAATGGCCACCTGTCTTCCTAAGATGGACAAGATGGACAAAATGTCATGTAGAACATGTAGAACTATTAAGGCTGAAATTAATCTTAATTGGAATGTGTGTCCTACCATCAATATTCTCTACTTCTATGACTCCAGTTGAGAAGCAACGCTTCAGTCTCTCAGCCTTTTCTCCTTCAATAGTCTGCAGTAACGTGATCTCAGGGAGTAGTCTGTAGCTAGCAGTGGCCACTGGGGAAAACTTGGCATGGTCCTTGCCTCAAAGGGAAATGAGTAGACAGCTATGAATGAACTTTTACTGTCTTCTGTATGTGACATGCAAACAGCCAAAATGACTGAACGACATAGTATGTAAAACATTTTCAAAGATTTCAAAGATTCAGGAGAATAAAGAGCTGTAAATATTATGCAGACTTCACAGACGTAAACACTGTGTATAGCATAATTTCCTTTTGAAACAGTCTACAGCTACATAACACCTCCCTTTAATTACACTTTATAATATCACTTAATAGGGCTCATTTTTATTCACCTATTCCTTTGACGCAGTGCATAACTATGTCAAGCTCTTGTCCCGGCCGTAGCTGCGCCAAGAGGATGTCCCCATGCACAGGGCCAATCTTAGCATCAGCAAACACATCAGCCTGGTTTCCAATGGGCACCCATGTTATGTCCTTTGAATATACTGAAAAGGTAGATCATAAGGAAACATTTAGTTGCTTTGTGAACCAGCTCAACACAATGACTGAATATGACTTTCACCTACATTCAAATACTGTTACATTTGCTGTAACAGTAAATTTGTGTATAAACTAGGCAATGTGCTAATATCTCTTTTATAATGTCAGGGGACATTTTGTATTTTTCAGAACTGACTGAACAGTATTCATCTTTGAATTAATGTATTTAAATGTAAGAGATCTTTAGGAAATTAACTTTAATTTTAGATGTTTTACATGACTGACTAGATTTTCCAAAATATATGCAGAAAATAAATTTCATTAGGTTTTTCTTTTGCTTAATAAATGGCCACCAAACGAGATAAAGTGCATTTTCGTATTATATTAAGGGTTTGGAATTTTAGGACATAAATATTAGAATGCAAATATAAAATAGTAAAAAATACAAGCAAAACTATATAAGGGCTACAACATAACATTAGCTGGCTAGGTCCAACAGCAGAACTTTTAAGCAGAGAAAATTTGTTCAGGCAGCATCCAAAACATACCTCAAACATGTGAAAATCTTTCGCATGTATCAAGCCAGCAAATGCTCCACTTATTATTTAAGCAAATCACACCTTTTTAAGGTTCTGTGTTTCCATAATGTGATAAAGTTTAAAGTTTAATGTAACAAACAGCTGGTTAGTGCACCAAAATCTTAACATAATGCTAACTTGCAGCAGAAACGTTTGAGCTTGGACATATCTGTACTGCTTTACCCCACTGTGCTGCTATTTGTTTATTTTTCTACTTGTGCATGACAGCCTTTGTTTGTTACTACTGCCTGACGTTCTTGTCTCTAAATATTCACCAATATAAATTTCTTGACTGCTTTGCATGGTTTTGTTGAATTAACTGCAATAGTTATCATTCTATACTATACTTTCATCTATTCCTTCTACATAATTGCAAATCGCTTTGCACTGAATTACACGCAAGTCTTATCGTCTTACCCATGTGATTCAGGTACAGCTCCTTGGGATCTGACGAGTCTTTTGAGGCCCTGGGATTCCTTGTGCATTTGATTTTCAGTTGAAGCTGAATTGTATCAATTTCTGTGCCTTCTTCATCCCCTAACAAATTAAACAAACACAAAGTATGTACTTTAAAGAGAAACTCTGGGATCAGTGGACTGGGGCAAAGATCAATCAATGAAAACCAAGAAATCCACTTCATGGTTAAAAAAAAAATACACGTAGAAAAAAACCCTCACCAGCATTTCTGTACTCAAAGAGACGAGGATCAGCTTTGATGGGTATCAAACCAAGTCTATGGGCTAGGATCTCATCCTGAATGATAGATGTATTATTGTAAATGAAAACCTTCTCAATCGCCATAGTTGGAACCTAAACGTGTAAACAATCAGAAGAGAAGAAGTTGGTTTGCGGTCTGTCTTTCAGTCGAACAAGCTCAGCAAATGTTTAGTATAAATGCTGATGCACTGCAAATCAAGCAATGAAATAACGTTACCTCGGCGAGTAATATCCGACGAAAAGCATTAGCAACGGCAGCATCTATACCCACCATATCAAACTCCAGCGTGTTTTCATCCATGTGAACAACGTCGAGCCTAAAATTCTGTGATGGAATGGAAAAGTATTAAAAATGAGATAGCTAAAAAAAGTTGTAATTAAAAATATAGGCTACTTATAGTCACAGTGCTTAATGATACCTTTTTAAATTTCCTTAGATCCCATGTGTCATCATAACCAGGATAATTTCCGGGGAAATCTGTAGAATGAACCTACAATACAACATTGAAAAGAAAGTTGAACATCAAGTAAACAGATACACTGGTGAAACAAACTAAGATTAACATCGCACACACAGAATAAGCAGTGACAAACAAACGGCAGCCCCTGTCAGTGTGAATGTAAGCAGCTGATCAGACTCGCTTCAGTCACTCAAAGAGCAGCGAATCCACCATTCCCGTCAAAGCATCGTTTGACTATTAGACATAACACAGAATAAATATTAAGCGCAAACTGAAACCTAGTAACATTACATACATTTCTAACTCCAAATTCACCCAAAATCACTCTGTCGCGGATCTCATCCACGTTTCTCATAGGCGCCGCCATCTTCCCTGCTTTGCCTGCCTTCTGTACTTTTCTGGTCCAAGTCTTATCTCCATTTCAAAATAAAATGCACCCAAGCCTTCGCTTTGTCTCATTTGTTTTGGCTTACAGGGAAAAAGTAAATCTAAAACAAAAGTTAAAGTGATTTTAATTTGATTTAAAATATCATAATAATTAAGTGCTGTTTCATTTGCTGATTTTAAAACATAGCTGAGTCGACTTTTATTGTGTGCAAACTGTAGCTGGGTGTTTTTGTTATTGCGCGCCCTTTGAGTCGGTGGGCTCCAGCTCGTGTGATTTAACCGTTGGTTGGTAACGGGGGTGTGAGGAATCACTCGCCGAAGTTCGCTTATGTGTTGCAATACATTTTATTTTACGTCTAAGTCGCCTTTGGACTGTTAATCCAAACTCAGAGAGGGCTGCATTTGTCTGTTTGAACTCAAGCGAGCAGATAAAGTGAAGGACAGAGAGGGGGGATGGAGCAGAGCTGTGGGAGAATCAAAAGTTGTGGTGACTCCCGCGACTCATTTACCGGTGCTTATAATAAGCATGACATCGAAGATGAGGTAGATGTTTGCTAATTAACACCATTTTATGATTATATTTGGGATATAAGTTTAAGGTATAAAATGTACATAACTAAGGTTTGCTAGTTAGGTTAGCTAGCTTAGCCGACTAGTTTGCTTAACTTAGTAGTTAGCTAGCTTTAGGCTCGGTACCTAACTAGTTAGCTAGGTTAGCTAAGCTAGTTTGCCAGTATCCAAGCTGACTGGTCACTAACACTGCGTTCAAAAACACATACTGCCATACTATAAACACTATAACAATGAATGCATGTCTAATGGTGGTGTACTGTTTTGGCTTTTAGTATGGTGGTATGCGGTTTTGGACGCAGCATAAGTCCCAAAACTGGATAGCCTTTAAGTTAACATAATGATAACGACAAACTTTCAACTCCGGATCAGAATGCGCTCACTTCATAATTGTTGTGTCCTTCATTGTCTGAACCTTCGTGTTGTCATGCAGACTTTACTACCTCTTAAGGAGTTCTATCCTTATATTCGCTGTGCTCTCTGCACTGGGTTCTTCATCGATGCCACTACCATCACCGAATGTCTTCATACGTGTGAGTCCCAATTCATACTGACTGCACCCTCATTGAGGAGACGGCGCTCACTTAAACGGCGATATATTTAGTTGTTGCTGAAAGTCCTGTGAGAATGTTGTGTTTGCATGTAAACAGGATGTCTGTTTACATACTGTCTTTTCTCTCTCTCTCTTCTTTTTTTTCAGTCTGTAAAAGCTGCATTGTTAAGCACTTTTTCTACAGCAACAGGTGTCCCAACTGTGACATAGTCGTTCATCAGACTCAGCCACTGTACAATATAAGGTATCACCATATTGTATTACTGTTTTCTGTCCTTGTATTTGCACATAATGATCTGATATGCGTAATGAGCTGACATGATGGTAGATTTTCTGTTAGTGTAAGCCCTTTAAAACCACTTATATTTGAAAAAGTGCAAGTAGAATTTTGTCTTATCAGAATATTGTTTTTATTGTTTTTTTACTATGTATGTAGCTTTAGAACAATCAAGGGGGGTTGCTATTGCATTTGACTGTCTCTTTGACGGTCTACAGCTATTTTGGAACAATAATTGCCAACTATGTTTTGCCGCTTGTTCCCCATGGATCCTTCTGCAGTGTTTAGCTTAGCTTGTTAACTTATATATTTTGCCTACTGTCTGACCAAGTCCCTCTTTGCTATAGACCTGACAGACAGTTACAGGATATTGTTTATAAGATGGTTCCAACTTTAGAAGAAGGTAAGATGTTTTGTGCACCTATCAAGACTTTGTATGTTGTCGTTGTATATCTTAAATGTAATAGCTCTTGTTGTTCTATGTTTATATTCTGCATTGACTACAAGGTTTGCCTATGACAAGTCCTTAAAGGCTTGCTTCCAGCACAGCTTGTCAATCTGTTGAAGCGCTATAGCCCATCCAAACCACTTTGCTTAGCTGAGGCAGGCTTATTGAAAACTCCTAAGATTACTCACAGCTTGGTTAGTGGAAGATGTTTTACGTGTTGTAAATCTAGACTAAAGGACATTTATTTAGGCTAGCATTTGCCTTGTGTATTGGGTCTCATTTTTTCCTACTGTTTTGTAATTGTACTGTTAATTTAGACCATGAAATTTATAATTCCAACATTTCTCTTTGGACTTTGAAGTTTTATATACATAAATATTTGGTTTTGTTACATTTTGCTTAAATAAAATATAATAATACTGTACAATAATTTTCTCCAAGCGGAGAGACAACGAATGTGTGCATTTTACAAGGAGAGAGGACTTGTGGTGCCAAAACCAGGTGAGCTAAATTTACTGAACTCAATAATTTACACCCTAGCAGTGCATTTAATTTACTGTAAAGCTTACTCCCTTTTATATCTTGTAGTCTGAGGCATAGAATCTTCCTGTTCACCTTTTAAGCCTCTCATTTATTTTGAACTGCTGTACTGTTTTAAGGAGGGACCGTATGTTCTTTCCCCTTTCAGTAGCAGTCTCAGCCATGCTTCCAACAAAGCTTCCGAAACAGAAACAGAAAGACCTGACGCCGCAGTCTGTTTTCAGCATTCCTCCAGAACTAGATGTATCACTGATGCTGGAATTTGTTGGGTAAGTGTTCTTTCTGTGCGTTTTATTCCATGAGTCTGCTATGAAGTATCTCACCACTAGGTGGAGATGAAACATCAGAAGCAACTGAGACCTGTTGAGTTTTGCATTGCATGTTCTCTTGTACAATTTTTCATGTGTGTTTGTTATATTTTTGATTCACAGAGCCGAGGAGGGCATTGATAATTACAAGGTATTTGTGTTTTTATATATTTTATATATACATATATTTGTTTATGTTTTTATACATATATAGTGTGCAAAGGCTCTTTTGTCTCAGATTATGTTGATCTGATGGTGTTTTCTTCCTGCAGCCTCTGGAGAGAAAGTATGTGCGTGTATCAGGTGAAGCTACTATTCGTCACGTGGAACTCTTTATCCGAAGAAAGATGGAGTTGAGTCCAGACTTGCAGGTACGCCAGCATAGTTTGTAATACTTGGGAAAAAAAAGAGTAATTGTGCTGCTAGGAATAAGCACAGTTGTATGTTTTAGTGTCTGAATAACATTGAGTCAATATTTGTATACATTTATCAGAAAAAGCTAAAATGAAAACACTTGCATTTATTTAATAAAAACATTAATGGATTAACAATCTTAAGTTATTAACATATCTTAGACGATACAGGATCTTATACATGAGCAAAGCACCAATGCAGTTAGATTGAGAGTTAAGAGTGAAGATTCTGTGTAATATCTGCAATAATGTTTGTACGTTAAAACATGGGGGCAGTACGGATAATTCAGCATTCAGCTTGGTCTGTAAACAATTTGAAATTATCATCTCAAACTAAAAAAAAAACATAGAAAACTACTAAAAGCAGGATTCCTGTCAAGTTACATTTGCATTTAATTCTCTGTGCATTCAGCTGTCCATGCCACGGTTGTATTTTACTTGACAGTAAAGTTAACGACTATGGCTAATTAATCTTTGCAGCTAATTTATTTGAAGGAACATCAAGTTGAGCAAGAAAAATATTGCATCAGTCAACCTGACGTGAAACTGTAGAACAAAATATATTAGCCTGTACTGTTCAGTTCACTCAGATGAATTACTGGATTAACTTCAAATACAAAATACACAGATTAATCTGTAAAAGTGAAGAAGTGAAAAGAAATTAACACAGCCTTTTACCGTGTTAAAAAAATGCACAGTTGCATGTATAATTAAAAAAAAAGATCGAAATGAAATAGTAACTTGTGTACAGCCCCAAAGCATAATAAACCCACCCCCATGCTTAACAGTTGGCAAGGTGTTCTTGTCATCAAATGCTGTTTAACCAAACATACTTTGAAGATTGGCCAAAGAGTTTAATTTTTACTTCTTCAGTCAACAGTGCTTGTTTCCAGAATGTCTTGTTTTTCATACTTCAGACATTGATTTCTGTAATGAGGTCGCAGGTAAGGTTTTCTTCCGACTCTTTAATGCAACACTACACAGTAGAATGGTGTGCTACCACTCCTGTGTCAGCTAAACCTTTCTACAGGTCCTTTGTTGTTATTTGGGGCTTTTGCTTTGCCTTTCTGGCCAGCGTAAAAGCAGTTCTATCTTCTAGGCTGTGCCTTGACGTCCACAGTTGCCCTTAACAACCACTTCTTAATAACATGTTGAACGGTGGAAATTACGTGCTGGAAGCCCTTTGATGTGTTGTATAGCCTTCCTCTGCTTTGTAGGCATCGATTACCCTCATTTTCAGATCCTTAGCTGCTTAGAGGAGTCTATGGTTATTAAATGTTACCAAAAGGTTTGAAGAGACAGAGAATTTATTACGCTCTGGGATTGTCAATTGGAATGATAATTCGTGACCTACTGTACCGGTAATAATGAGTTGATGAAGTTATGAGACTTTTCATCTGGGACGGTTTCCTTTGCACATTCCATAAGTAATGTTTTATTTTTTCTATTTTATAGGTTGTTCAGACATAGTATGTTTACTTCTTTTCAGTCCAAAGATCAACAGTATATATCGTTTGGCCAGGGTGCCCAAACTTCTGCATACAGCTGCACATGATGAACTTAAAATAGCCCATATTTTGCAACATCTCATTCACTTTCACTTCATTTTTGTCCCTAATTCAAAGTTCACCAACTAGCAAATCCTTCCATCTTTCATAAAAAACCCTTTCGTCACAAATTATCTCTGACACTGAGTGGTGAAAATGCAGTGCTAACATCAGTGCATTGAATTTATTTTCAAAATAAAAACGGTCCCATTGCAAGCCATGCTTCTAGCTTTTTATTTCACTTCCGTACAAAAAAGCAAATGCTAGCAGTGATTTTTGAACATTTTCATATGGTTCCTGTTGTCACTGGCAGTTAGTTCTTGCATTCAAAACTGTAAGAAATGAAAGATGTCTCCATCCCATGAGTTTGTTTTAGAGGCTCACATCTTTTTTTCTGCTTTTGGTTTTCTATTAGTGTAATAAAATTAGTACCAGCATTAGTTTTGTAGTAGTAGTAGTAGTTCTGCAGATGCTTTTATCTAGTATAATGACTCTTTATGACTACCTAATGATCTAAACAGAAAGTATGTTTTAATACTTTTACTTTTTATTACTTTTTAATTTTTACAATCTGAGTTGGTATTAGAACCTAGGAGGAGAAGGTAGGATGATTAAATAATGGGGCAAATCCTGTTATATATATATATACGTATAATAAGTGGCTCTGCCGTTTCTGTGTGAATCTGATGACCTGATTATAAGTCCTAATCAGAATGTGAAAAACATTTTTACAGCTTTTGTCTTGTCTGAGAATGTGTGAGGTGCATGTTCCAGTTTTCATTGTTATGTATTCAGTGATTCACTAGGCAGTGGCAGAATAGGACTAATCCATCTTGCAGGGAAAGAGATGCTCTGGCAAGGAAGCATGCACTGATTACCTACAACACCAACCTTTTTGCTCTATAGACCTTTATTTTTGGATACCTTGTCAACTTGGAGAAAGCTGTAGTTACTTTAGATGTAAGGACATATGAATGTTATTTTTAGTGGCGTAAAAAAAAAGGAGCATTTGCAATTTCACTTCATCCTCATCTCACACCACTGCCCAAAGCACCACATTGTCATTTAATTAAGTTCCTCTTATCCAAGCTCTTGATAAGACTCGGGTCTTTTGAAGGAGTATGCCTGGCTCACTCAAGCATAGTATTGGCTGTCAGCAATTGTGATTAACGCAGGTTTTTTAAATTTAAATGAAAATTTAAGTCATTATTATACATATTCATGGAGTGTTTGGCCCCAAAGCCAGCAGTGTGGTGGAGAATATTTATAGAATTTAAAAGATATAGAAAAGTTTAGCATATCAGGAAAAAATAAAAGCCATGGGATAATGCTGGATTATGTTTTCAGTGTCTTACTTGGCATGTTTCTTAGCACATTATTTAAAACAAGATGCACATCATTTTAATCAACATTAGGCTGGTAGGTTTATGAGGTACATCACATTCAGCCCTGCATGTTGTGAATTTGAAGCATTGTAAATTAGCTGCTGGTGGAAGCAGATTGCATGTGACTAAACGGTCGTACCTGGATTAGTGGCTTAAGGTAATTTCTTGGCTGTCTCTCACTGTCTTCTGTGGCTAAAGACCAATCTGGCACTAGATAGAGCATTTGGAGACTGGCCAGCAAAATGTTATAGGACACAGGCTAAAGGACAAGAGAGCAGGAGGAACAGAAGTTAGCCTACTAGCTGTTGGGGGAAATACAGAAGCAGTAAAGATGAGGAAAGAGTAACACTAGAATTCAAATAACACTAGAACAGCCATAGTTGACATATGGCACAGCTGGGAATCAGCATGAAGCTGTAGTCTAATGAGCAACTCTAGGGTCCAAATTCAGCCTTCTTGACCACATAGTTTAAGAATCCTAAAGAAAGATTTACCCTTCAGTCACGCTCTTTCATATCATGTAGTGAAAACAGCTTCTGTCTGACAATTCCTCTCTTGCAGGTGGATGTTGTTTGTGGCGAGCATCTTTTAGAGCAGTATCAGTCTTTGAGAGACGTGCGAAACACAATGGGAAAAAATGCCCTCCAAGTAAGTATCAGTGATACATCATTAAAAGCTGAGTTTATTATTATTATTATTATTTATTTTATTTTATTTTTTTAGAATCACTAAATTTGGAATTTTATGTTCTAAAATATTTTCCGTCTTATTTTCATTTCAGTCAGTTAAGCAAAAATGAAGCATTGTTATTAAACAATTTTTTGTTCCACATCTTTTTTATTATTATTATTATTATTATTATTATTGTTACTTAACTAAAAGCAGAATTACTGGGGATATGCATTATAGTAATGTTTAATCTCTCTCTGAAGAAATAGGATTTTTTTCAATGTTGGCAGTGAGTAAGATGTTACAGAGAGTTTGCATCAGCCTGACAAAGCTTGTTGATGAACATTAGTATGGTTTGTTGATTTTCTAAGTAAAGATAACATTCTCTTACAGGGGACAAAAAATACTATATTTTCCTGCAAATTTTAGTGTGTGATTTCTACTTGTTTAATAAATTAAATTAAGTTCAATAAATCATCAATAAATAAAATGTAAATTGTGGCATAACTTTTGCACAGGCCACTTTTTTTGTTTAATTTTTTCCCTATTATGTTATATCCAGCAAATAAACAGTAATAGTGCATGAAAATGTGCAGAAGTGTTTTCGCTGTAGAGGTGAACTTATTTCCCTTATTTTCAAAGTCAGCAAAACATTAACGTGTAAGTTAATATAAATAAAATTTATGAACTTTAACATTTTTATTGGCCCATTCTTTTTAAAATGTTTACACTTTGTAAAGCACAGCTGCTGTGTTTAAATGATGAAAAAAAGTTTAAATTATATAAGTGTGGTTTTCTTTTCCATTTGCCTTTCTTGTGTTGGCATGAGTATTTTCCTAGAGAGGAAGAGATGGGTGAGACTCAGAGAGGAGTATCTTCATGTATATGCAGGAATACAATTTGAAAGTGCAAGTTTAGTTCTTGCAATCTTAGTTGAAAATAACATGGCTTTGTAAGCAGAGGCAATAGCCTACTTTGATGATGTGGGCCAGTCTCTTTTTTTCAGCCACTGTAATGACTTAAAAGTTACAACATGCATGCTGTACCTAAAACCATTACTTATACTTATAACTCAACATAATTGCTGCAGACTGGAGATACTTCTTTCTTATGCAGAGGTTTTCAGTCTAGCCCTCAAATACCCTCTGCTAATCCACAGTTTTGTTCTATTCCAGCAGTCCTCACACTCAGCACGTCTGAACTAAATAATAAAGAGCATTAGAAATCTGATTACCTGGCTCAGGTGTATTGGGAGTTGGAAGAGCAGAAATGTAGGGTGGATGGGGGTGTTCAAGGCCTGAATACAGCACCTCTCCTCTGTGCCAGAGGATTTCAGTAAGATAATTGCGTTTGTTTTCCTTTTTCCGCAATCTTAGGATGGAATGCTGGTTTTACAGTTTGGACTTGTGCTGCCTGCTCAGTGAGGAAAAGATACAGATTCATCCAGTCTCTTGTCTGCAGTGAATGGAGTAAGGGCTATTCTGAACTTTGTCAGAATTTGTTTTTTCTGACTGTTTCCTGTTGAAAAATATTCCTTCCTTGAAACCATTGTTGCTCCAAAACTGCACATTCTAAGGAAACTTGAAACACTTGCTGCAATTCTCTACTTTCCTAGTACTTTTCATCTGCGTTTCGTAAAGTTGTACATATTATAGAAACACTATTCTTTATGGAAAACTGGAGCGTTTACACAGTTTTTAAGAACGTGAGAACTAATGTACTGTTTTTGTATTGAAATGCATTTACTGCACTTGTCTTCTTTTCAATAAATACATGTTTGGTTATTACTTTTAAACTGAATCCCAGTTCATATGATCTTCGATTTGCAGTAGTGCTTTTTAGTAGAACCTGACTAATGACAGTTTTTTGACTGATTTTAGGGGGCTTAATATTCTGATAACCCGGTAATATCTATGTATCCAATATATTTTTTAGTTTTGAAATTTTGAGTTTTAGTTAAACAGTACTCTTGTAGCAGAGCACAAAAGCTTATACGACAAGCAAACGCTGACCAAAATAATGTGGAGGTTACAGACAATGTATTGATAAGCTATGAATGATGGTGAGTATGTTACAGTGACTGTATTTATTTATAGTTTATTTGCTGCTTTTCAATGAGAGGAGTAAGAAGCAGAAGCAGAGCCTCGAATTCCCCCCACTGAGGAAATACCTGCAGAATCGCTCATCGTGCTACTTCAGCTCACTCCTGTAAGAGGCAGTGGAAATCCTCATGTTGTCTTTCTTTGTAGAATGGGTTGTACCTGGTGTATGCACCATCTACTTGCAGTGCTTAAAAGAAAAAAAAAGGTTTTAGTGTTTAGAGAGAAAAACGTTTTGATCCCACTATGTCAAAATTGCATCCGTTTTTTTTTTTGTTTTTTTTTCCTGAAAAATCTTGTACTTGTTGTGAATAGGCCTTAACAGTCCAGCCTCGCCCTTGATCGGTATCAGCTATCAGCTGATTGTGTTGAAAGGTGACCAAAAACACTGAACAGTCTCTACATCTCTAGTATTTTGGGTTCAGATTCCCCAGGTCAGCCTGTAGTTGAACAGAGAGAGCCTCATACTGAGCTGCCCAGTGACACATCATCAGTACCCTATCGTCAGGAGATTGTAAATTTTAATCCCATGGACAGGTTATTGGCGCGTTCTCTGTTATGTTATTGGTCAATCAGTATATTATCTGGGCCCTCCCTTTAGGCTGCGTCTGTACCGATATTGCAGTAGTGTTGTCATTCTAGGCTGTTAAGCTGAATAGGTTCACTGTTTGAAAAAGTGCGTTGGAGGAGAGGTGTAGACATGTAGGGACAAAGTAAAATTCCCCTGAGGATACTACAAAAGGTAGAAAGTGGTATCCTAGGCAACAGTGCGATTACATGATTCTGCAGGATAACTAACACCATAAAACCAAGATCTGTGAAAGCCAGTTCATCACTAATATGATGGAGACTATTTGTGCCTATATTTACATTGCTTTTGCTGAACAGCAGCAATGATAAATATAGGATGAATACAGTCTTCTTTTGTGTGTGTGAGTGTGATTGTGTGTGTGTAATTATGTGTATAAATTATTTATATATATAATTATATATATATATATATATATATATATATATATGTATAAAAATATATATATATATATATATATGTATAAAAATATATATATTTTTTTATAAATAATAAATTTATATATAATATGCATGTATGTAGGATGAATATAATCTTGCGTACTTGAAAAAACAAAAAAAACAATCAGTTCAACAGAATGACTTTATTGATATGTAATACAGAGTCCAATAAATGTGGTTTTATAGATGATAGAGGAAAGCATCAGACAATCATGACAGTTTGTGCTCTTTTTAAGGCATTCACATGAAACAATGATGCAGTGTGCACTAGCTTTGGTCCATTTTTAGGAGCCTGCCTTGTTGTCTTTCATGTATTTTTAAAGGTTTATTATTAGACGGAAAGGATTATATGTAAGGTGTGCACGTAAGAGCTGTACCTTCATTGTGCTGTCAGGTGGAGCTCCTTTATTTTCTTTTGGTCTTGTTATCATTGCTAAAACTACAACATACAATACTGTTACAATACACTCTTACGTTGTCGAATGTTTTCACAGTATATTTGCTCACAGAAACTGCATCTGAAAATTATTTTAAACCTAAAACCTTCAAAACCTTCACACCTAGTCGCAGCATTTTCTGTAACTTGAAACATTCAGAGAGCTAACTGAATCCACACAGTGGCCTACAGATCTCAAGTTTCTAGAGAAAAGTCAATAACAACGAAAGGCTATATTGTCTTAATGAATATTGGACTTTAAATTTGCTAATTGGAATTGACATCCACCGTTTCACTCTTCTCCTTGTTCTTTGAGGTCTCCTCAGTGATTTCTTCACCGGTCTCCTGCTGGGCTCCTGCCTTTGATTTGCCCTGGTCATCGTCTTTCTCTTTCTTAGGATTTCGGGAAGAGCTTGCATAAGAGCGACTCTGGTAGCTATAGAGCGCGCTCGGGATGTCATGGTTGAGACTAGAGTAGGCTATCCCGGCACCAAAATGGGTCTCCTCTCCCTCGAGCAGTTTTCTTTGGAACACAGACAAAGAACTTGCATGGTTACATTATGCAGATTTTTAAAAGCAGTGGTGGATGCTAGAGATAAAATGTTAGCATGTAAGCTATAAGATTTCTCCTACACATCTGTGTAGCATGAGAAACACAATGGCATAAGAAAAGAAGGGAACTAAAATAAGTAGTTTACCTGTATGCTGCAATTTCAATATCCAGGGCCATCTTGACATTCAGTAAATCCTGATAATCTCTTAGGTGATGGGCCATCTCACTCTTGGTGTTTCTTAGGTCAAGTTCCAGATGACTAATTGTTTCCTGGTTGATGAGATAATCATGAAATTAAGAGAAGTCATTAGGCAGACATGTTCATGTTATTTAATCTAACGTGATAATTTGAGAGAGTATTAGTGGAAGAAAGAAGGAAAGTATGTTTAATTTGGACTGCATGCTGGAAATGAGAGTTCAGTTACAATACAGTTCAGTTTAAATCAGTCCAGTTCATTGAGTGTAAAAACTCTTGAATCCCTGACATTCTGTGGCCATTTGGGCACATGGGCTGTGGTGGTGATATATTAATCTGATTAGCAGTCAGGAACTTTTACTTTTTCTGTGAATAGATATGTGTGCTATCTTCAGACAACTTTGAGTGATTTAATTTACTGTACAGGAGTCCTGCAGTGACAAAATATGTACATCCCAGCTCTGTAGTAAACTAACTATGAGAAAATACGTGGTGGTTTCCATGACTAAGGACTTACATCATGACCTTGGAAACGTCTTTTGTGAAATCCTCTTTATCTAGAAGCCTGATCTTCTAGTCTCATCCATCTAATGTGAGCCAAGTTCAGCACCATGGACAGGGTTTACTCATTAGAGGGTCAGCTTTATGGACTATTCTAAATGGGGAATATGTGACTGAGTGTCTTAATTGTTATGTTTAAATTATACACACTTAAAGATAGTTCTTCAAGAGTTCTTTAGTAAAGGCAGTGGTTGTATTTAGAACGAGAATAAGTTTTATATGGAATCATTTCATGCTACCTGATAACTTGAGACTTCAGCATTGTGTCCATCCTCCATCTCTCGCATTTGCCGTTCCAGCGACTCGTTGGTGCCTCTGAGAGTTTCGATTTCCAGCGTTTTACTCTGAAGCTGCCTCCTGTAGTCGTTCAGCTCCTCCCTGGTGGCCTTTATAACCTCGTTGGTCTTCGTGGCTTGCTCGTTCAGGTTGTCGAACTTGGCCTTGTACCACTCCTCGGCGGACTGCAGGTTTTTGGACGCCAGTGTCTCGTACTGTCCGCGGATCTCCTTGAGCGCCGATGTGAGGTCAGGCTTGGCCGTGTCCACTTCCACAGAGACCTGCGCCGCCTGCATCATGCAGGTGAGCTCGGCCACCTCCTCATCGTGCACCTTCCTCATGAAGTCCATCTCGTCCAGGAGCGACTCGACCCTCCTTTCCAGCTCGAGGCGCACCACCGTGGCGTCGTCCACGTCCTTCCTGTAGGACCTGAGCGCCTGTTCGGCCTCGTCGCGCGCTCTCGCCTCGCCCTCGTACTTGGAGCGGAGCTTCTGCAGCTCTTCCTCCACGTTGCCACGCTCGAGGAGGGTCCGATCCCTCTCGCCGCTCGCCTCGTCCAGCTGGGCGCGCAGCTCCCTGATCTCACGCTGGTACAGCTCGGCCAGCCTGGACGGCTCGCTCTGCTTCTGGCGCAGCGTCACCAGCTCGGCCTCCAGCACTTTGTTCTGCTGCTCCAAGCAGCGCACCTTCTCGATGAAGGTGGCGAAGCGGTCATTCAGGCCCTGCAGCTGCTCCTTCTCGTTCGTCCGGATGATCTTGACTTCGTTGTTGAGTGCCGAGGTGTGAGAGATGTCCAGGCTGTCGCCGGGTGCCGCAGCCAAGGCAGACCGGCCTGTCCTCCTGTACGAGCCCAGCGAAAGGCTGCGGGACAGGGGCTGCGACCTGAAGCCGCTGGGCGAGATGGAAGTCCTCATCCGAGAGGAGGAACCCGCCGTATAGCGGGGGCTTTCCCCGAACAGTTTTCGGTAGGATGAGGACAGGCGGGGGTCTGAGCTGTAACTCATCTCTGCTGCTGCGGTTGAGAGTGGCTGAGGTGGGTGTGCGCGCTCTTATATAGGCTGCAGGATGTATGGACTGACCCAATCACTAATCTGCGGTCATCTAGTGACGCAAAAGTCTCAGGAACGAATAGTGATTACTGACATGAGCGAATATTTAACCAGACGCAGTGCGACATGTTTAACACCTGAACATCCTGCTAATTAAAATGTTTAAAGAAGATCTTTGGTGTGTGTAAAGCGCTCAGATGGAACTGTCCATTGTGGAGGGACTGAACTGCTTCCAACTCTGGGTGGAGGTTACAAAAAATCTCTCCAGGTCTTAAGGTTTGTAAAATAACATAGGCTGTTCTCCATTGTTGGCCGTCAGGGATCCATTTGACAACAGCTATCATTGTTTCGCCCCAGGAATGACTACAAGAGCCCTTATCATAGAAACCTTCACCTAATTCACCTCGCTTTTTTTAAATAATAATAATAAAAATCACTGTAGTCTGTAAACCCTGTTAATGTATCAAAACTTGCCGTCCACTCTTCAGTCCATACAGTATATATGGAAACTAAATAGCAAAAACAGCCTATTTTGAAGTCATTGTATTGGTGATGTCACGAATACGGATATATCAGCCTATTCAGCCTGCAGCAGTTTAGCCCCGCCCATTTACGCTGACATTATAAAGACGTTTGGCCCCGCCCACTCATGCTGAAGTTTTAAGGCGTGTTTCAGCCCAGACTCTTTTGTGAATGTGATGCAATGCAGGGCAGCTAATCAATACAGAGATCATTTACATGTATTAGTCTGAACTGTTTAATTCTGAAGGATAAAGAGAATTCAGAAAATGGTCATGTGAAAATGAGTAATAAATGTTTTTGGTACACAAACTATATAAGTGGACTTCAAAGGAAAATATAGGATATGGGCCCTTTAAATTGTTTTGATCTTAAATCGTTAGGCCATTAAGCCCTATATCCTACATTTCAGATAAATTTTGTCCATTTTAATGTCTATGTATGGCTATCTCTATGCATTAAATCTGCTAAAAATGAACTTTTGCTGTAATTTCATTGATTTGTTTTTGTTATTCTAGAGTCCATGATATGTAGACAGTTTAGCTACACATCACTAAAGCAAAGCGTAATAATTGTGTGTCCTGGCTCTGGTGCTGCTCTCCTCTACAGAGGCCAGGAGATGGTGATGTTTCTCTGACATAAAAAAACAGGACACTGTCACCACCTAAAAGAATTTACAATACATGAAGAATGCATTACAATCAAGAGTTCACCAAACATACAACAGGGATAAAGGATACACATCAAATACGTGTTACTAAAAGGATTACATCCATAAAATAGTTTGCACCGCTTTCGTGTTTTTACACTTTGAGAAAGTCTGCAAATATGCTTTTACATCTGAGCTGAAGTGTTCCAGTGTAGGTATCTTTTCACAACATTTCACTTTATGTATAAAGTAACGTCCAAGTATAATTAATAAATGAATCAGAAAAGGTGTTTTTGGAATATTTTCCGTGGGGTTAAACATTATCATAATATCTATTTCATTATTTCATTGTGTTTTATGTAATTTTTACATCAATCCACAATGTTTTCACTGAAGGGATATAACCAAAAAATGCTATATAGTTTCAAAGCCACATTCAAAAAAATGCAATTATCATTTGTATCGATCTTTGAATAACAGCAGTCTTTACTGGGTAAATTCAATGAATTCAATGAAAGAAAATGTTGCAAATGTTTTTTAAAAACTGATCAAATGCTGCAACAGTTTTTTAAAAGACACAAAGCTGCTTTAGGGATTGGTTTAATAACAGTACAAAATTGATCCAAATTTATATGAATTATATTATCTATTCACAAAATCAGTGTAATTACATATTTCTACATTTAATCAAGTAATTGCTTATAATTGCCCATATTATAACTAACAGTAAACTCTTAGTATGTTCATGTTATATAAGCTAGCCTAATTGCACACGCTTAAAAAAAAGATGGTTCTGCAAGGGTTCTTCATTAAAGAAAATTGTTCTATATAGAACCACGAGCACTCAAGGAACCCTTTGCATGATTAAAGAGTTCTTTGCATTGTAAAAGGTTTTTCAGATTGATGGAGAATGTGCTGTATATGATTCTATATATTTTTTGAAAGGTTCTATGTAGGCAAGGCAATTTATATAGCACCTTTCATACACTGCCATTCAAAGTGCTATACAAATGAGAAAATACAGTAATTTAAAAGGAGAATAGAAATTAAAAACATAATTTGAAAACAATTTCCATTTTCTTTATTCTTTATTCTTTATTAAAGAACGCCTCAGGAAGCATCTTTTTTAAGTATGTAGCCTATGAATGAATTTAAGTGACAAAGACTTTATTCAAACGTGATAAAAATAAATTGTGTATCTTTTTAATATTATCTGGCCTAAATATTATATAATATACAATAACAGTGATGGGTCAAATGTGATAAACAATAAAATAAATTGTCCAGTCTGTAGTTTTCATCATTACATTTTGTTTGTTGCCCAGGTTATATTTTAAAATCAGTCCATTAATTGGTGCATCGGTACATAGCCTACAGGCCTACATGTGCCAGCTGCCAGTATAGAGCCTGAACCCGCTCTCTACAGAAATAACCTTTTCTTGCATGTGGGTGAGAAAAAGAAAGCGTAAGTAGTAGGGATGCACAATGATATCGGAATCATATCGGTATCGGTAGACCATTGTATGAAAAAGAGATCATGCTTTTGGCCGATATTTCAAACTCAGAGCTACTGTACCGCAGAAGAGCAGAATGTTTCGGCGACACTGGGTTAGATGCTAAATTCCATTTTATTAGTTTTGCTTCATTTGTTGCATTTATCTAAGTTGATCTAGTACCAGTTTCTCCATTTTATAATGTGTGTGTGTGGGTATCAACATCGGCATTGACAGATATAAAAAAACAACAGCTGTCCACATTGGCCCAGAATTCCCGTATCGGTGTTTCTTTGCTTAGCAACATTAATACACGCACAACGTGTTTTATTAGAAGTTCGCTGGGCGCCAGTAGAGCTGCTGAGCGAATCATAACGCAGCAGTACGCGCGAAATGTGGCACTGCGTGTACCTGACAGCCGCACGGAGCCTCGGCTGCGGAATGATGTGTGCGTGCGCATGCGCAGTGCACGGATTACTGCAGCTGTTGCTCCTGTTTCAAAGGCGAGGGAGGTGAGTAACAGGGCGGGAAAGCGTAAATAAACTTGCCCGACTTCGGCGCATGATTAGTAGAGAGGGTCAGTAATATGCGTTTGCATCAGTCAGTGTCACATCTGGAGCGTGTCTCTTTAGCTCGAATTAGAAACGTTCGTCACTGGACTGCAGCAGACATCGTTAGCTCGCTGGCTAGCTGAAGACCACAAAGACCTGAAGCACTAAGCCCGTCGCTAACGCTGCTTAGCAGGTCCGCTGCCGTCCGTCTGTCTGAACACATGCTGACTGGAGCTGGGTGGAGAAGTGGAGCTCAGCTCACGTAGGAATCTGTACGAAGTTGAGACGGTATGGAAGTGAAATAACACGCTCGTTTGCGAGCCGTTTAGACGGGAAGTCGGTTAGTCGAGGTGGTTTTTTATTTCCAGGAAGTTTAGCTTAACAAGCTAGCTAGCCAAGGTAGCCAACGTATAACTAAACAACCTTGATAAGAGTTAGAGAGCACAGTACAGTAGGTAACTTACAGTCGTGTTTACGTGCGAATTCTTGTGGCTCATGGACAGTTTGTCAGCTTGTCCAACGCTTGTCGCCTGCCTGACATTCACTGTACGTTAAATGACTCCGAATAATCACATATATAAAAGTTTAAACCTTTGTAGTAAACTTGACTGGCTTTTCCCTGTTTTAAGTTGAACTTAGCCCTTATGGACTTGTAACAACTTAGGTGAGATACTTCTTTAACTAACTGGTTTTAAATATATTTTGAAAGTGTTTTTTTTATTTTGTTACTACTACAGCTCTAGATATAATAGAATTGCAAAATTGCCAAATAACTCCTGAAAGCTAGTTGTATCATATTACAGAGGTATCCCTAATACAGTCTGTTAAGACTTTAGGGGACAATTCTTCTTTATTTTCCATGAAAGGACATGCTTTACCTAACTTTGTCACTCAGTTCTGTTTTTATTTTTAAACAGTTTTATCTGCTCTCTAATCATTTATGATACCTGATCACATCTCAAATGAAAGCCTATTGAATTCATATCTTTAGTCTACGTGTATTTAAATTTGATGTTGAGATATATGAGCCTCAAATATTTGTTTTATTTATTTTTTTTTGATTTGTACTGTCTTAATTAGAAATTCACCTTGGGATGTTTTTTATTTTTCCTTTCAGACTTTAGAACGGTTCAAGATGACTACTTCTTGGAGTGATCGACTTCAGAACTACCCAGACCTTCCTGCCAATATGGATGGCTTGTCTATGAAGAAGTACAGACGAGAGGCCTATCACAGGTACAAAATTAGCTTGGGCTATTACAGTTAGACAGCTGCAGGTGTCTTACGCTGCACAAAGTATAACCATGATCTGTTGATCTATTTCATGCCAGTGTGTATTTGCTCAAAAATCATATGTGTGTGGCTGTTCCATGATCATATGTCTTGCTGGGTCAGACATTAATTCACACTGATTGTAGCTTGTCTTAGGTACAGCAGGGGCAGTCTTTGGAGGAAAACTCTTGTGTGTGTGACCATTAACTATTTCACGCCTTAGAGAAACTCAAAGGTCAAAGGTTGGAATTAAAGAATCTTGCATTTTTATACTGACTAAACAACTCTTAGTGTTATCTGTTGTTTCAGCTATGTTACTTAAAGTTGGACTTGTTTACCAATGCTTTCCATGTGCATTTTGTTTGTATTTAAATATGATATTAGCAGGTTTCGTAGAATGTGTTCCTCCTCTGAAACTAAGGAAACATAATTTCACTCAAAATGATAATTCTCTGAAATAAGGTACTTTAA